AACCTTGTTTTAATTCAAAATTATTAATTTCCTTAGAGTTTCTAAGTTATAAGGGGTGTTAATACAAGGAATGAGGTGTTTAAAGTTTCTTTAAAAGGGACATTAAGCATTCATGTTTTAAGATAAGGTGCGTTTTTATAATGGGAGGTGGGCTACAAATTGTTTGAGCCCATTAAGGTTTTATCCTTTGTAAGAAGAGCACAAAGGGGGTACGCTGGTTAAATGGAGTGCTTAAGTTTTGTTGGCTCATTAGGATTTTCAGACTAGCCCACTAATTTGTTAAAAGTTTTATCTTAAGTTAGGGGGGGGGGGGGGGGGGGGGGTTGTGACTTTCAGGAAGGTCCCATAAGATTTTTTATTATTATTTTTGCTAGGCCCAATGATCCAAGGCCTTGATCATTTTTGTTTTGTCTGTTTTTGAATTGTTTTGTTACTAATTGTATCATCATTTTTCCCAACATTATTGATTATCATTGTTAAACTATATTGATTATAATTAAATCTTTTTTATTTCACTTATTCAAATGAGATGACAGAAAAATGTTACAAATCTTTTTAGTCTAAAAGCCCAAGCTAGCATGCCTTTTCTTAGCATGTTGCTGTCTCCAAAAAGCGCAGGCCCAATGTACAAAATAAAGCCAGATTTGGCCCAAAAGCAGATAACACAAACTGTAGCAATTAACTGGGAATTATGTTGCTACAAACAGAAACAGACTTTTCTCATCAATTTGAAATCGAAGGAAATCAAGAATGCAGACAAAAATTCTGGATTAATACAGAAACCAATCCAAGATAGAATTAAATACAATACTTTTAATTTACAGACAACATTCAAAAAATTTCCTAACACATGCACCCTAATCAATTCTGAAACCCTAATTTACATACAAAGTCAATCCTTTCCTAAAATTCCGAGACAAGCGTAATCAAACGAATTTAAATTGATTCCTAATTTACTAATCCCTAATTGGCTATAAATTAAAGACAAAATTACAATAAGAAGGGAAAATGACAGAGATTAACGATAATATTACATACGGAGAAAAGAATTGCAGAAGGGAGATTACAGTAGGGAGGAGATTTGGCAAAAAAGAAGCTTGGAGAAAGACTTTAGATCTGGGTTTCGAAATCCGAAACCCTAGATCAATGGTTCATCTGTCGCCACCTTTGTCCTCACCATTCACCGTCGTCACTATCACATCCTCTCGCCGTAACCTGTAACAGAACAAGAAGGGATCAATACCGAATCGAAAAAGCTCAAGCAATCAGAGAAGACAAATCACAGAAGGGGTAAAAACATTAGCTTTATTTTTTTCTTCTTTTTTTTGTGTTGGTGTTTTGGGGTTCGATTCAAGGTGGGTAAGGGTTAATTAGCGCCTCCGGTGAGGGATTAGAGAACTAGGGTTATGGGATTTAGGGTTGAGCCGCCGCAGGATTGAGGGTTAGAAGAAGAAGGGTTTGTAACGTGAGGAAGAGAGAAAGAAGGTTGAGTTGTTGTAACAAAAACGAAATAATAATGAATGAAGAAAATGAAAAAATCCAGTTATGTGATCTGTTTCAATCATATGCGCCTCGCCTACGATAGCTAACATGGTCCCTCAACTTTGACCGCGTGATTTTCATCTGACGACCATTAGGCCAAGTCATACGTTAATTAGCATACTCCCTCGCCACACCTGATTATTCGGATCCCTCTTCCAACGCTTTGGGCCTAAGCTCGTTTCCTTTTAACACCCCCATCCGCCTCAATTGCTAAACATCAAAACAAATTGCATCCCTCCTGTCCAGCCTGCACAATGGGCCTAACCCAAACTCCTTTTAGCACCTCTCTTATTTACTGGTTAATTAGAAACTACACCCCCTGATAATTATTTATTTTCTATTTTTTTAATATATAATTATTATTTTAATTATATTTTCTTATTATTATATTATATTATTATCATTTTTAATAATTATTATTTTTATTATTATTATTTATAATTATTATTATTAATAATCATTCTTATTTATAGTATTATGCTTTACTATGTAAATATTACTATTATTATTATCATAAATAAATTATTGTTTATTAAAAACTCATTCATATATTATTTTCTGTACATTGCATTAAATATTTTTTATCATGCATTAATCAAGATTTTTTTTTTGCAGTTAACACGTTAAAAATTCATAAACAAATAAAAACTTCTAAATTAAATTAACTAAAACCTTTTACAAATAATAAATGTACATCCTCGAATAATTAAGTGGTCGACTTATGTTTACCAATTGATTATTTAAATCAAATATTAAAATCCGTGCGATTCATCGAATTACTACATCTGCAAGCGACACGTGGCCAATATCTGGCCACGTGATGAGGAAACTATATCATATTCCTTCGCTATACGTCTAAAAAACGCTTAAACAAACGTCAAATTATTTTTCGTAATAAATTAATTTTCAAAAAGGAATACGCAGTGTATTCTAATTGCACTAGTCCAAAATCTTTGCTATTCACACATTCTGGCTAATTGCGAGGAAAATTAAATATCTGCGTAATCCGTAAAAAATACAAACAACCCCGCGAACTATGAAATGAGACTCTGATTCCTCCTAAAAGGATACGTAGGCATACGATCAAAAATCGTTGCAAGTCCCCCTTACTAAAATTCAAACCTTCCCCCTAACTAAAATTCAAACCTTTCCCCTAAATAAAATTCAAACTCTTTTCCCCCAATAATAATTAAGAACCCTATTTTCTAAACATTGCGCTTCTAAACCTAGTATCCTTGTGAACAAGGTAGATAAGGGGTGCCTAACACCTTTCCCTCGTCTAGAACCGAGTCAAACTTAGAATCTCAGACTTTTTAGGGTTATTCCTTTATACTCCTTCCTTAGGATAAAAATTAAAGGCGGCGACTCTGATTAAAAAATCAGTTGCAACACGTGCCCTTCGACATGCACAGCAACCAAGACAAAATAACAACTAATTTGTGCTCCTCGACACAACCTTCAACTTCGTGCAGCTCGACAACAGTGTTATGCTCCTCAACACGCCTTGCAGCCTAATGCCGCTCGACATCCAACACATATATTCCCCGACACACCTCGCAGTCTAAATGCCGCTCGGCACCTAACACCATTAGCATCATCCTCGATCACTAATTTCGGCCAACAACATAGAACAATACAACGTCACAACGACCACATCAATACAACCCATAATTTTCGTCTAACCGCTCGGAATACCACAGCAATGGGAAACTATATTTCCTATCAACAGATTCATTAATTGTACAAGACAGTCACGCAAAAACCTTCCTAAAATAACCACAACAATAATTTACTAATTTTCTACCAACCGCTCGGAAGATACAACAACCTAATGACCACATCAACAGGTAGTAACCTACACTAACCTATTCATCGATTATACCGGGCAATTATATAGACAACTCAAAACATCCGCAACACGACTAACGACCAACTTCAATAATAGGTCCAGAACATCAACATACAACAATCATAAATACGACCAATTCCCCCATAACAATCATCATCAAACCCATTATAAGGTCAGAACCCCATCCTTACCTGGATTGAAGGCCGTTCTACAAAATTTCCATCCGACAACCTTTCCTTGCTCTGCTCGACAACCGTGCAACTTTGCTCCTCTCTTCCGCGCAACTTCACACGGTCACGCATAAGACTTCTTATTTTACCAAATAACCAAATCCTTGTGTCAACTTAATCTTATACCATTGATCTTATTGGACTTAACTTACACACCTCCACTTTACTACTTCCAACCAATAAAATAGGCCCAACGCGAATATTCTATTAATTCCAACATTATTATTATTAATCAACTACTTAATTAATTAATAATAATCTAACAACATATACAAACAATTCTCAATATTTTACAACTTTTCCACAAATAATTCAAAAATAATTTAATTAAATAATTAATTAAATTAACGGGCGTTACATCGTTCGCACGCCCTCGCCTTTGAGCAGGACGACACACAAAATAGAGTCAGCGAGGAAATCGATGATTTGACGACCATATCATCCCCGACCGAAATATAGGTTTGGCTTTCGACCTTGAGCATCGAGGATAAGTCCAACGAACTTAGTTGTTCTTTTGTTGAGCAACTTTTCCCTAACGATTATCTGCAAAGCAACTCTTCCCCGACGATTAAACTGGTCTTAAGTCATCACTCTTTCGTTTACGAGCAATGACTTGGGGGGCTTGTGTTCTGGACTGGGCCAACACTTGGCCCTCCATTGAGCAGGCCCAATCCAATTCCCTTGCTATGGCCTAAGGGCTACACTCGAAGTCAACAACCGTTGGAAATTTTCCCACGTGCCCACTAAGAGGACGTGGGTAACGGTTATCCGAAGCTTACACCATCCTGCCCACCGAGAATAATGGATCCATAACCTCCATATCATCGCGAAACAGTTGACCAGGGAGGAGACCACATGCTAGACTCCACTACTTACGTAACCCTGACAGTCTTCGTTATTAGGCCTAACTATTTAACTCAATACATAGATCTTGACCCAGCACTAAGAACTATAAATACCCTCTCACATGAGAGAGTCAGATATTCACTCATTCATTCACTCTTTCATTACTTATATTTACTCTAAAACTTATTTTGATATCAGAATGTCTTGCAGATCAGATACGATCAGTAAATATAAAAGTTCTTTAGTGTAAACAATAGATAGACACATTAAACAAAACCATACAAAAATAAAGTTTGAATAAATCAAAGAATATTTTATTGTGTATGTTGTAACCGACCAATACGCTAGTGGTAGTTTAAATAGTTAGGAATTTTTCTCTCTTCATTTTCCGCAAAGCAAGAATCTAATTCCATGATGTTTTTTTCAACAATAATACTTTATTTCATTCAAGTTTCATAGATCCTTTTCTTTCTACATATCCCTTAATCACCCATTAATTCATCTTTCAATTTTTGGTTCAAGTTGAAAGAAAAATGGCAGATTCAAGCTTAGAACGAGCGAAAAAGAAAGAAGTGATTCGAATTGAACGTGAATCCGTCATTCCAATTTTGAAACCTAGGCTCTTCATCTCATTGGCTAATCTTATTAGTATGTCTCTCTATTCTTCTTTTGATGGTCTTTCTATATCGAGATTCTACGTAACACCGATGCCTACAAAAAAACGTGTTTGTATGTGTTGATGTCACACATGGATATTATACAAATATTTGTGATTACATTTAATTTATTAATTTTTAAAAAATTTATTATTAATGGCAACATGTCAATGTGGATGTCGTGTTCTTACTTCACAGTAGAGATTGTATTTTATCTATGAAATATTGACAGCATCAACACATTGATATTAATAATATAATTGAATATAATTAATGTGTCAGACACCGATTTGTCGGCACCAGATGCCTCATCAATAATTATTCACTATCTCTCAAAATATGATGAACATACATGCAATTCGACGACACTAACATTGTGACTTTGGATATAGAGCGTAGTTCTGATCGAGAAGAGTTTTTGAAGCTTTGCAAAAGAATTGAGTATACAATTAGAGCTTGGTATCTTCTACAATTTGAGGATATGATGGTATTATTTATTTTCATGACCATTTTCAAATATCCGCCCCGCCTTCATTTTTTCGCAGGACAATCGAATGTTTTAGATCCACGCCCTCAATTACGTTTACCCCACCTTGTTTTTGTGAAGGAACATGCCTAAACGGGACGGACGGACATCTCTATTTGTCACCCGTAATTTGAAGTTAATTAATTACTTGATGCATTTTTGTGTCAACAGCAACTGTATTCACTCTTTGATCCTGTCTCTGGTGCTCAAAAATTGGAACAACAAGGCTTAACTTCTAAGGAAATTGATGTACTTGAACAAAATTTCTTGACCTATCTTTTTGAGGTATTTTGGATCCTTCAATAATTTATAAAATATAAATATAAAATAATGCATTTAATTTATATATAATATAAGATTGTTTGATTCTTTACTCAGGTAATGAAAAAGAGCAACTTCAAGATTGCAACAGATGATGAAATTAATGTTGCACTTTCTGGACAGTATCTTCTAAATCTTCCAATCAGTGTTAATGAATCTAAGGTTTACAACTCTAACTTTGCTTTGTAACAAGTTAATTTCATGATTAGTTACTTAATGTGCTTTTAGCATCTGCTAATCTGTTTCTTTTTGTTGTTGAATTTAGCTTGACAATAAGCTTTTGCGAAAATATTTTGAAGCACATCCCTATAACAACCTTCCAGATTTTCATGAAAAGGTAATACGTCAAAATCTCTGTATCACCAACATTTCTAAAAAAATGTGTGTCTGTGTCTGAAATAAACACCGACATTTATGATTACATTTATATCATGTATCAGTGTCGTATTTTTGGTGCTCATACTTTATAGTTCAAAACTACATACTTATTAACATCAAGAACACTTCATCTCAAATAACCAAAAACATGAATCAAAGCATGATGGTGCTAGAAGAATGTCAAATTCTTCAGACTGCATATTAACAATTTCATTATTTTAGTATATAATCTTTCGGCGGGGAACTGGACTTGATCAAACCACGGGTTACTTTATATTGGAGAAAGTCGACATGCTTATTGCACGTTTTTGGGCATTTCTACTAAGAACACTCAGGTAATATGATTAAGAACTCAAAATCGAAAATTTGCAGAAACTAAATTTAATATACGTCTTTGCAGGTTGGAAAAACTAGTAGCGAGACATGGTAAGAAACTAGATCCAAAGAAGGACGACGAAATAAACTCGTCATCAAACGAAGCTCATCAAGAGGATGTATACGAACGGTTACGCCTTGAAAATATGCCATTGAGGTCTTGTTATTTTTGTGTTTAGGGTTTTTTGTAGTTGCTTTAGTTCATGTTCAATTGATTCTACACTTTATTTTATAAGAAGGTAGAAACTTGTCACCCTCAAAAGCACTGACACCTCTAAAAAAACGTGTGTATGTGTTAGTATCGTATTTCTGATGCTTGTGCTTCATAACTTGTCATTAAATGAAATTATTTGTTGTAATTTTCAGTTCGGGTAGTTTGCTAAGCAAGACAACAATCCAAGAACCTACATTTGATAGGATCATTGTTGTTTACAGGTATATGAATACTACAAAAAATGTTCTTTTTGAAAATTCGGATCCTAGTTTCTCCAATCATCACATTAAACATGCCACACTGGTTTATTAGCTGCACATTATCGGTTTTTTAGGCGGGCGAGTTCCAATTCAAAACCAGACAGAGGAATTTTCGTGAAGCATTTCAGAAACATCCCAATGGCCGATATGGAAATCGTTCTTGTGAGTTTATCTCAATTATAAAGCATTTCGAAAACATTTTAATGTTAGTGTTCACAGTTACGTGATAATCCCTAAAAGTTGGCTTGTTGGCAAAGGCTCGAGTCCTAAGAGTGTACTCCTCTTAAGATTTCAGGTCTGAATTCTGATAGGTGCTAACAATCCTTAGTTGTTTTACTTGACAGCCAGAAAAGAAAAATCCTGGACTGACTCCTATGGATTGGGTGAAGTTTCTTGGATCTGCTATAGTTGGGTTGGTTAGTTTTCTTTCTTTCACCGACACTAACCGAATTTATTAAACCAAAGTGTTTAACAAACTAATCCATTCATTAAACAAATTTAACTTCTCCGACATAGGTAGCTGTAGTTAGTTCACTTCAAACAGCTACAACCGATTTGAGGGTTATCGGGGCCGTTCTTTCTACCATTGTCGGTTATTGTGTTAAAACATACTTCACGTAAGCATGTTTGATTAACTAATTGTTCGCATTATTAATATTCACATTCGATATGTTTTCGATGAATCTATTTTAACAACAAAACTACTAGTAATTGTATTTAACTTACTATAGGTTCCAACAAAATTTGACTGCATATCAAGATATGATTACGCAGTCGATGTATGAAAAACAACTAGACAGTGGAAGAGGAACACTTCTCCATTTATGTGATGATGTCATTCAACAAGAAGTAAGTAATTAGTGGTTAGATTATCGGAGAAACAGCTTTTGCAAAAGCCAAACATGTTAAAATAAGTGCTTACTTGAATTTCTCAATGTGCAGGTGAAAGAGGTAGTTATTTCATTCTTTATTCTGATGGAACAAGGAAAAGCTACAAGACAGGTATATGCATACATATATATAAAAGTCATATTTTGAATCAAGAGTGAGTTATATTCTATGGTTGCTTATAATATAAGCTATATTGAATTAAGGAACTGGATCAAGGGTGTGAAGAACTTATCAAAGAAGAATTCAATGAGAGTTGCAATTTTGATGTAGATGACGCGGTTCATAAACTTGAGAAGCTGGGCATTGTTACTCGGGTGAGTGAGTTTGCTTCTATTTTCAGTGAATTGTCTCCGTGCACGCACGAGTTTTTAACTAGTATTGCATTAAATTCAATCAGTAGTGTCTAACATATAGTATATTGTTATAATGATTTTGAGTTTTGTTAGTGAATTGAAGCTTTTTATTGGAATTCAGGATCCCATAGGACGATATCAATGTGTTGGATTGAAGAGGGCTAGCGAGATAATCGGTGCCACCACTGAAGAGATTGTAATTAAGGCAAAACAAGGAAACATGTCTTCTTGATTCTTACTGTCAATACTTAACGAGTTAAAAAGAATACAAAATGCACGTTTGGATGCTTCATTAACTGTTCTAAAACCAAGGGGTCAGGTTCAAACATAAGAATGCATTGCACTTCTAACAAGTAGAGACAAATCATAAGACAAACAAATCATAATCTACAAACAAACTGAAAAACTTAACCTATTTGTATCATAACAAATCAAACTCATTACTTTCGAGTGCATCAATCAATTAAAAAAAAACTTACTAAAATGATCCTAAAATAAGAAAAACTTAAACAAACTTCTAGCACTTGATTGACACTTGAATATGTTTCAAGCAATGATAACCTGAATAGTTTTTCTAGGGTTCTTAGGAGGAGGCAATTTCTGAAGAGTAACACTGAGTACCCCATCTTGACACACAGCAGAAACAGCATCAGTATTTGCATTCTTAGGAAGAACAAATCTGCGCATGAACTTCCCAACCTTTCGCTCCGCCCTCAAATACTCTACACCTTCTTCTCTCTTCCTCTCTCCGCTAATCACAAGGTAATCATCCTCTTCAACCTCAACCTTTATCTCACCACCAGATTTCATTCCCGGCATATCCATCTCGTACACGTATGAATCTGCATAAACCTTCACGTCTACGGGATTCGCAGCACTCATATCCACATTGTCAGAACGAATCATTATTGGTGGTTGTTGCTCAATAATGGTGTTAGGGTTTCCCTTTTCTTGAGGTTTAGGTTTCTTCATTTCTGAAGGAGTTGCAATCCTTGTTGGTGGTTTTTGCTCAATTACGAAATTTTTACCATTAGGGTTTCCATTTTCTTGAGGTTTAGGTTTCTTCATGTCCTTGTTGATCTTCGCGATACGCATAACAGAAATGTCCTCCTCTGATGAAGATGAAGTGTAATCCTCTGATGAAGATGAGGAGTAAGATGGGTGGTGTCTCTTCTTCATTGCTATTGATAACAAATGTTTTAGGGTTTTGGGAATAGATTCCAACAATCTGTTTATATAGATGAAATATATTTCGTTACAATAAATAGTAACTATTAAATATATTTTGTTACTATTAGGTTTTTTAAGCATTCAATTTTTTTAATAATTGTATTTATATTTGTAAAATTTTAAATTTAAAAGAAGAATAAATGTGATAAAAAGTTGATAAGTTTTTAAATAATATGAATGATTTTGACTTTTAAAAATTGATAAACAAAAAATAAATTATTAAATTGAGTTTAAAATACTATATTGGGTTCAATATATATAAGCATTAATTTTCATATGACTATTATTTTTTTTAGTTTTATTAATATTGAATGTACTATTTTTTAGTTTAAATTTCTATTCATATATTAAACGGTGGTTTTTTTATTAATCGAGAGTATTTTTTTTTCTTCTGAATTAAAAGCATTTTGAAATCAAGAAGTAGCTAATCATCTCAATTATGTTAGTACTAATAGCTACCCCTATTCTTTGCTCATAGCTCATATTTTAGTTAAAATAAATAAATTTGAGAGGGTAGCATATTTTGATTGTATCTTAATTTCATTTATTTTTGTTGGAAGGAAGTAATTGTTTGAATTTTTTTCCAATATGCCACATTCATGAAATGAATTTCTCAAAATGTCACAGTCTGAAAAAAATTGTCCAGAATGTCACACCCAGGGGTTCACGCCATTTGAAATGGCGCGAATGTGGGCAGCAAGGGCTCACGCCAAATCAAATGGCGTGAAAGGCCTGTTTATTTTTTTTCTTCGTTTTCTTACATTTATGTTATTTATATTAATAATTTTAATTATTTAATTTTTTTATTAATTACAAATAATTTAATAAACTATTTAGTTATAAAATTAATTAATAAAATATTAATTTAAAAACTTAAATAATTATAAACTTAAAATAACTATTTAACAATTATAATATAATAATAAATTTTTTTTATTAAATAATAAAATATCACAATTACAATCAAAATGCTAAATAAAAAATACAGTTAAAATTTCACAATTATACTATTTAATGCTGATGACCCGGTCCGAAACGAGTACCGCTAAAACAATAACGCGGTCGTGGAGCACGATGACCAAAACTATATTGTTGTTCGGTCTCTGTTATTGGAGGATTTTGTTGTGTTGCATCTGATGTTGGAGGATTTTCTTGACTAGGAGTTGTAGCTTGTGGAGGAGACCAAATGCTTTTCAGTAAATCATAATCACTGACATTAAGATCCTCTCTAAAATTATATTGCGGTTGTTGTGGCGGACACATGGTTGGAAAATAAGGCGTTGTAGGGTTATGTTGGGAGAAGGAGGAATCGAAGTTTGGCCGCATGATGAGTGTGAATTGTGTAGTTGGCCTATTATAAATTTGTGGTTGTTGGGATTCATAAATGTAATTTGGTTGGGAGTGAGATTGCGGGTATTGGGTGTTAAAGGTTTAATTTTGGTAAAAATAAGGGGCAGGAGTTTGTAGTTGAGAAAAATGAGGGTTAGAAGTTTGTTGTTCAGGATAATGGGGGATGGGTGTTTGATGTTGGGAAAAGTGAGGAGTTTGTTGTTGGAAGGATTGGGGATGAGGAGGTTGAGAATGTTGTGAATGTTGTGAGTGGTGAGGTTGTTGAGAGCCACTTGCCTGGGTAGGGGCATATTGATTTTGATGAGGGTCAGTGAGAAATTGTTCGTACGATGCATATCTATGTGGAAGCGAGTGATACCATTGCATGTACTCATTTGACGGTTTCTCCTCTGTTTGTAATTGATCTTCATCCAACATAAACAATTCTCGATGCAACCAACATTTTTGTTCAGCTTTTATTGTTGTCATCTTATGGTGTTCAGCCAGCCAGACATCGAGGTTCTTCAGGTATCCCTTGTAAATGGCCAAATTTTAGTTTGACCGTATCTGCTTGATGCATTTCTACAATATGAAAACATATTATATATGTAGTTAAACTCCTTATCAAACTGTCCTCGTGCCTTTGGGGCGCTTATCCAAGATACGACCTCCAAATAAACTGAAAAGTTATAGATAAAACTTTTTAGTTTAACCAAAATAATAAAATTCAAAAATTTATAAGTATTAAAGTGAAGACAAAAAAACCTGATCTTGAAGCATGTGATCAATCCTGAATCGGTATCCTTGTAGATGGTGGCGCGAGTTGTTTTGGTAGTCAAGTTTCTTGATGCACCACCTAAAAAGAATTTAAAATTAAACTTTATTTTAAAGTATCCTAACAATTTTAATTATAAATTTAAATTTAAATTAAAATATTACCTTCTTGCGTAAGGATATGGAGCTTGAAGCGGAGCCACCAGAGATATTATAGGCATGAGTGTAAAAGCCCAAGCTTGAAGAAGTAAAACGCATCCTGACATCTCTATTACTTTTATATCTACATACTTGCATATTTCCCTATATAGATTGGCTAAAACGGCGGAACCCAACTTAATTTTCCATAATCTTCCAAATCCACAACAAATTGTGTCCATTTTGAGTGTATAGTATTACCGCTTTTGTTAGGAAACAAAACTTGCCCGATAAGGAGTAAGATATAAATAGGAGCATGTTTAATTTTATACTCCTCAGGTGACTCCTCGGTTGGTGGTTCATGTTGGTACATGTCTTTAAGCCATGTCAACCTCGCAGTCATTTCCTTATCACTTTGTGGTGGTTCATCCCCTAAAATAGAACTCCATGCACCACCACCTAGCTCGGATGGACCATTTACCGCTTTACCATCTACAGGAAGCCCCAATAACATACTCACATCTTCTAATGTAATTGTGCATTCACCGTTTGGAAGATGAAATTTATGAGTTTCGGGTCTCCACCGTTCCAGTAAGGCTATAATTAACCTTGAATCGATGTGTATGGACCCTATTTTAGATACATGGTAGAAACCAGATTGGTGAAGGTAAGGGATTATGACTGCATGTAGCTTTAGAGGTTTGTGAGCACGAATTCTCTATTTTGAAATATAAGTATCATCAATCTGTAATAGAAATAAGTAATATAGAAAAGTATTCAACATTTCTATGCAAATTATGAATAAAACAAATATTGTAAACTCAAAAATAAATAATATGAATAATATTGAATAAATAAAAAATACTTACAACATTGATATTTTCTAAAGTTCCCCTATGTTGTGTACCATACCAAAACATATTGGCCATAATTGTGAAAATGAAGAACTGATTGAAGACTTATCAAAAGAGAGTAGAGAGTGTGTAGTGAATAGAATGTAGTGTGTTTGTGGAAAAATGAGGTGAGAGTGATTGAGTATTTATAGGAAAAATGAGGTGAGTGTGATGATAGTTGGTTGGTAGTTGAATAATTTAATTAATTGTGGTTGATAGGTAGTAGAGTAATTTAATTAGAGTTGGTAGGTAGTAGAGTAATTTAATGAAAGTTGAATAAATATAAATTTGTATACTTATTGAGAATATTGTAAATTACACGGTTTTGTACACAATGATAAAACTTCATCGACTGATCTACTGAATCTGACATACAACTAAATGGTGTTTTATTAACACCAATTCGAAAATCCTCAAGCATGTTAAATACATCTGTATTTGTAACTAACTTTGTAATATGCTGCATCAACACTCCATTTTCGTTGATTGTAGCTCGGTTGAAAGATATCTCTGTAATGCTCCTATTAATATTTGTGACTTGACGTAATTGATTTTTCAAGTGAATGAGTTTAGATCTTTCCATAAGTCGTACAACCAAAGGATTAGAAAATGCATTTCTATAATCAAACATAACAACTTGTGAATTATACGGAATAATGTATACTGAGCAAAGTATCAGAGTCATTTTAATCTGAAAACAGAATCGTTTAATGTTGCATTTATATGCATGGCACGTATGCTATTCACGCCAGGCTACAAGGCTTCACGCCATTTGAATTGGCGCATACCAAGGGTTCACACCATTTGACTTGGCGCAAGTATGGTATTCACGCCATTTGACCTGGCGACTACAAGGGTTCACGCCATTTGACTTGGCGCGATTGTACATGGACCAAGGCTTTACGCCATTTGACTTGGCGACAGCACAATAAATCCAACAAATTGCTGTTTGTTTATTAATACATGCATGCAATAAATCCAACATAGTTGTCTCTTATTCAAACAATTGAATATTACATCAAACACAATGCCACAAAATCATATTTCTTGTCTCTTACATTTCGATGGTAATATTTTTACCGACGAAAATATTGGAGTGGTATTTCAAAATACTGATACACATATTTTAAATATTCATCGAAAAAGTGATTTAGCCCACTCGACGAAAAAAATAGAAGAAACTTTACAACAACATGTAACTTCTATTTTTTATCGATTTCCAATAGTTAATCCAGTTGATCACAATGTCACATACAACACTGCAAAAATCGAAGACGATGAAGATGTCCGTTCAATGCTTCAATGCCACTCAAGGTTTTGTAGTCAACAAACAATGGAGTTGTATATTTGTTTTCAACAAATGCATGAAGTATTTCCAACACAATCATCACAAATATTTCCAGAAGAGGAAGTGGGTGATGATACTGACTCCGATGATGCCAGACAAATTAATTTGTTTAGTGGGTCCAGTGACGAGTCAGGTGACGATGACAGACTGGAGGCAGAACCGGCTCCTATACTTGATCTATACAACCCACCCTATCACTTAAGAAATGTTTCATTTGAATGTGTGGAACCAATTTCAGTCTTTGAACCCTTACACGAACGTGAGTCACGTGATGACTTAAAGGTTGGTATGACGTTTGAAAACAAAGAAGCACGTCTCCATGCAATATCTGAGTATCACATAAAAAATTCTCATACTTTTAAGGTTTGTAAGTCTGATCCGACACGATATTTAATTAAATGTAAAAAGGAGGGATGCAACTTCACATGTAGGGCTTCGTTAAGGGAGGGGTGTGGTAAATGGGTTAT